TAGAAGATCTAGGGTTAAATGGCATAGTGTTGTAAGGTAAAAAGGAATTAGCAACTAGACTAGGAGAATAAGGTTGTGTGGTAGTATTGTAGGCAGAGAATGAAGATTGAACAAGTAAGACAGAAGACTGAGTAGGTAAGTTAACATAGGAGGGTAAGGTAACATAGTTTTGTGAGGCATGTGGGTTCCCAAGAGACATTAGAAAGGGTATGGTACCACTCAAGTTATCTGCTGTTTTGATAGTACCACTTACTGGTGAACTGATACCAGACACATTGTAACATCCATGACTGGTTACAGAGGCTATATTTGCTGAAGTGTTATACAGGTCTGTGGAATTAAACTTTTCAAGCCGTATTTCATATTTCTGCAACAGAAACTATGCCTCTTGAAGAGTTACAGTATCAACTTTCGATTCTAGTCTAGAGGTGAGTGTCATTACGGCTGGATCATATTCAGGCCCTAGACCATCTAACACATACTGCAATAAATCTCTATCAAAAATAATCAATCCACTTGGAACTGAGCTTTCTACAGTCTCTTTCATTTTCTTCACATAGTCATTAATACTCAATCCTCCTTTATGAGTTGTTTGAAGCAAATTTTTCAAATGTAAGGCTTTAGCCTTTGAGTCTGTAACAAACTCGTTTTCTAAGGCTAACCAAATTTTGTTTGAAAATCTACATTTAGACATAACACAGAACATGCTTTCACTAATTGAAGCTAGTAACCAACTCACTAAGCATTTATCAGTATTTTTCCACAAAACATAAGCTGGATTTAAGCTTTCTCCAACAATATTATTACTAAGTTCTACCTCAGAGTCATTAATCAGAATTGGAGAAGGACAAGGCACTCTATCTAACAGATGATCTTTCAGCTCATGTGAGCCAACAACAAAGAGAACCTGAGAGCTCCAAAACCGATAGTTGTTCCTCGTTAGCTTGAGATTGATTACTTGCAAGCTCGAGGTAAGAACTGCAGTAGTTCGATTTTGTACTTCAGACATCATCTTCCCAATGTTGTTAAGCGACTGAGAGAGAGCAGGAATCTAAGGCCATTGACGTTAGTCAGTGCTCTGATACCATGTAAATCTAGCTTAGGGTTTGCGAATAAAGCAAAAATGGAGAGAAAAGTGTTTGAATCTTCTTTATTGATGAACTAATTTTTAGTAGCTACAGTGAAGAGTAAACTTTACTCTTTTATACAAAAACGAAGAAGTGTAAGAGTAAAGTCAAAATGCTGCGTTTTTACAATTGTTTTTATTATAAACAAAAACGACACCGTCTGCAGAATTGCATTTTCCTCCTGCTACTTGGCTCTTTTGCACTTTTGTCCTTTGACCAACAATATATTTGTTCTCTAGATTACGATCATATGCACAAATGTCAGTATAATTTGCCCCGACGTCGCAGGATTGATTACTACTTGCAGCAGAGGTGTAAGTTTCGACGTTTTTCCAGACTTGGAGTTCGTCATACACCCTGTTGGTCGACATTGTCTGTATCTTCCCCTACATTGACTTCTTCAAGCAGTGTTGGATCGAATGAGGTAGAAGTTTATCTGTGTTTACTTGATTACGGTTACATGTGCGTATGTCTGTTTGTAATATGATTGGTGATTCGTATGGTGTCCCAATGTTGGTTTTCATTCTCACCGTATTGTCCTTAGATGGGTGATAACATGAACTGGTCTGTTGAGATGACCCGTAAATTTCTGATTCTGTTGTCTGAGTAGGCGAAAACTGCGCACGATACTTCAATTAAAATAGTAGATTACTAGGAAATGTTGGATGATATATCATCAGTGGTTGGGAGGAAACTCAACGTCACACAACTAACCTCTAAGTACTTTCGCCTACGAAGACTATATCATGAGTCGCAAAGTCCAACGTGTTCCGTAGACGTTTGGCAAGAATATGTGAAGGTAAATTGTCAACTTTTTTAACTAATATTAAACAACAACACCGTAATTGTACGCATATTTTTTTTTTCGGACTGCCAAATATTAATATATTATTCTTTTGCATTACCAGCAAAACCCACTGGCGCAACAATTCTACCACAAAGGCCTTCCTCACAAAGATCTTTATGAAATCATATTTGAGAAGCAAACTGTCGCTGGGAGATATGCGTACAACTCTACATCTCAACCGGTGGAGACCTCCAGTTATTCCAATCAGGGCGCAGTTCCCATGGATGATAGCGACTTTGAACCTGATCTAGATCGGACGACAGGAGAAAAACAGGCAAACACATCTGGCCATGGAAGAGCAAGAAATAAGAGCAGGCGAAGCCGCCCGGGACACTCACTTGCGGATGTCATTGATAGATTAACGGATAAGCATGTGGAGAAGCGGACTATAGGATTGAGGGCTAGCAATCGTAGTACAGATGAGAGGGACGAAGAGAACACCAGTGGTCCATCTGATCCGTTTTCCATGAGCAATTGTATTGACATTATGATGGACATGCAAGTACCCACATAGTTTTACCTGTCGGTTGTCAAGTATTTGTATCAAAATCTAGGGTGGCGGGAGATATTCGTGAAACTCCCGCCCGAGGAAAAGGCAAACTGGATTTATAACGACTTTCTGAATTTGTAGATGACACTATATTTCCTAAGTGTTTGCTAGCCCTTTTGTATGCGTCAATGGGCACTTGTCATTACAATTAGAATTTATAACACTACTATATGAACTTATTAATTATGCTACTGTTTTATGTGATATTACATGTTTCAACCCCGTTTTGGATTGTCATTAGAATTAAATATTGACTGTTATATTTTGTTAATTGTGGATCAATGTTTTGCAAATGTGCAGGTTTAAATGGCGTCATCTAGCCGTATAGGAAGAAGACAACGTTCTACAGATGACGAAGAAGAAATACTGACAGATATAGCCATTGCACTCTGCGGTTTTGCCGCGTTAGAAATAATTGGGCGTGAACCATGACATACATCCATATTAATTGGTCATGAGTACATGTTGGAAGTACTCAATGGTCATGCTAACATGATCTTTGACAAGTGCCGCATAGACAAAGACTATTTTATATACTTATGTGAAATTTTGTCAGAGTAAGGCAAATTGTGATCATCCAGGAGGACGAGTGTGGAAGAACAAGTTATGATATTTCTAACAATCGTTGGTAAAAACAAGACTGTCAGAACGATGATGAAGGATTTCCAACATTCGGGTGAGACGATCTCTAGATATGTTGGCGCAATTTGCGAGGAGATATGTGAGTTGAAGATAGAGTTTATCAAACCACCCGACTTCAGTTAGGTTCCATGGGAAATATCAGCCAACCGAAAATATTACCCTTTTTTTAAGGTACTGGTTCATTATGTTTTCAATTAGTGGATAGTTAAGTTCATTGTGTTATTAATGTTCATAGTCGGTTAATATCAGTAAAATTCAATTTTGATGATAGGACTGTATTGGAGCCATTGATGGCACACATGTATACGCTTCGGTTCCACAGACAAGGGTTCTATCCCGTCGCTTCAGTCTTTCAGATCTATTCATTGACCCCTGAGTATGGGATTTGAGTGAAAAGATCCTTGAACTTGCGACGCATACAGAGTTTCCCGTCATAACCTTGCCAATACCGGAATCACAAAGGAATGTTGTCACATAATCTAACGGTTGCATGCGACTTCAGGATGTTGTTCACTTATGTCGTTACTAGATGGGAAGCATCTGCGCATGATTCAAGAGTTTTAAATTCAATTATTGATGATCCTAATTCTGGATTCCCACATCCTCCACCAGGTATAAGTATTTTCTTGACGTATTATAGCATATTTGCTCCACTGTTGAGGCCCTGTAATTCAAATAACATGTATGATTTTATTATAGGGAAATACTATTTGGTTGATGCGGGTTATCCAAATAGAGAGGGGTTCCTCGCCCCTCATAGGCGAGTGGCTTACCATATTTCTGATCACCGTCGTAACCGAAAGGGGCCACAAGAGTTGTTTAACTATAGACATGCTTCACTGCGCAATGTTGTCGAGAGAACGTTTGGTGTTTTGAAAAGACGGTTTCGTATTCTGAATGAAATGAACAATTACCCGTTAGACAAACAAGGGAAAATTGTTATGGCATGTTGTGTACTTCATAATTATATCAGAATGTACAATATGGAGGACCCTATCTTCGAACAGTATATTGGAAATACGGGTAATGAGTAAGTATATTGTGATCGCCAAAACGGGGCAGAAGATGGCCGAAATGGAGAAGGATCGAGTCAACCGCAGCAAGGAATTATAAACAATATGACGACTGTACGAGATAACATAACGAATGCACTGTGGGCAGCACAGTGGACCATGTCGTAGTTGTTAATGGAGTATACGTGTAAGAACAATTATAAGGGTTGATAATTAGTATTTTTGTCATATATGTATTGATGTGATGTTTTTAAACAGTTGGATTAGTACTTAAAATTAATATGAGTTTTTGTTTTTTAATATTTACTGGTGACAAAATCACTAATAAAATGTTTAATATTATTAAAATGTAAATTGATAAGTTATATATATAATAATACATTATTTTAACAAAATCCACCGAAATATTATATTAATAAAGCATTTATAAAAAAATATATCAATCAAATATTCAACACAAATATCAAGGTAAAAATACTCTACCAAATACATATTTTTCAAATCCTATTCTCGTAATCGTAATCCTACTCCACTATCCAATATTATTCCAAAAATTCTATCCAAAATAATAAACCAAACACACCCTTTATTATTATTAAAAATCAATACCATCTCCCTTTTTTTGTATCCTCAAGTGTGTGAGTCAGTTTGTACACACCTCGATTATTTTTTCAGGGTTATAAAGTTAACAATCAGAAAAACATTAAGTGGTTATCCCTTATTAGTAATTGTGGGGATTCAAACTCAAAACCTCTTAAATAATACATCTAAGAGTTCCAAACGAATCCTCAATCTACCTCTTTACTCGGTACCATCTCGGGCGAAACTTTTCAAATGTCACTCTTTAAGCTTGACATAAATAGAAGGAGAACCCAGTCGAGATATATTAACATAATCCTGGGGACTGTGAGCGGCTAAACCCGGGAGCGCCAGTCCAACAAATCTCACCAATATCAGCCACCAACTTTCACAGTAGTCTGGTCCCTTTTTGTATGGAAGAATAAAACTTCTTAACAGCTCCCAAAACGCATTTAGGATTCTGGGTATCGTCGCCAACAATGAGATATAATTTTTGTCTGGTTCTTCTTCAACTATCTGCACATAACTTAATAAATCATTATATAACTCGTGATTATCAAATTAATAGATATCTGAATACACGTTTTTGTAAAAAAATAAGAAGAAAAAAAAGGAGAGATGATTCACCTTCCCTTTGTAACAGCTATTGTAGTAGAGGCATGTCCCAAAATGCTTGAACAAAAATGTAGAGTCATCTGAGGGCAACCTAGGGATCATATCATTACAGTAAACAAACCTTAAATATTTAAAGTCATACTTATTCATCTGTTTTTTCATAAACGTCTTAAACTCCTCATCCCCAACCCTAGGTTGCCCAAAAGTGTACACTCCTTCCAATCTCTTTAACAAAAATGTCTCTTCATGCAATGCCAGAACTGCAGGAAAGAGAATTGCAAGTGCCCCACCCATGCTGTGACCTGTTAATATAAATTTTGTTCTACTATTTTCATTCAAAAGTGTCCTCAATTTTTCTCTGATGGTGTAATACGCAACTGGATACGCAACTATATCCTGTTGGTTCATTTCTTTCGGCCAACCTTGACCAATCAATAACCCTAATGCTTTCATAAAACCACCATGTATTTTTCCCATGCCCGGGAGCTCGTACCAGGAGATATCAATGTCAGTGCACCATGCATCTGCATCAAAGACTTCGGTACCTCTAAAGGCGACAACAACGACGTCAGGATCTGCAGTTTTATCATGAAACATGAATCCTTGTGTTGTACTTTTTCTGATAAGTTTATCTGTGTTTACTTGATTACGTTTACATGTGCGTATGTCTGTTTGTAATGTGATTGGTGATTCGTATGGTGTCCCAATGTTGGTTTTCGTTCTCACCATACTGTCCTTAGATGGGTGATAACATGAACTGGCCTGCTGAGATGACCCATAAATTTCTGGTCCTGTTGTCTAAGAGGGCGAAAACTGCGCACTGTACTTCAATTAAAACAGTAGATTACTAAGAAATGTTGGACGACATATCATCAGTGGCTGGGAGGAGACTCAACGTCACACAACTAACCTCTAAGTACTTTTGCCTGCGAAGACTATATCATGAGTCGCAAAGTCCAACGTATCCCGTAGAGGTTTGGCAAGAATATGTAAAGGTAAATTTTCAACTTTTTAAACTAATACTAATCAACAACACCGTAATCGTACGCATATTTTTTTTTTCGGACTGCCAAATATTAATATATTATTTTTTTGCATTGCCAGCAAAACCCACTCGCGCAACAATTCTACCACAAGGGCCTTCCTCACAAGGACCTTTATGAAATCATATTTAAGAAGCAAACTGCCACTAGGAGATATGCATACAACTCTACATCTCAACCGGTGGAGACCTCCAGTTATTCCAATCAGGGCATGGTTCCCATGGATGATAGCGACTTTGAACCTGATTCAGATCGGACGACAGGGGAAAAACGGCCAAAAACATCTGGCCATGGAAGAGCAAGAAATAGGAGCAGGCGAAGCCGCCCGAGACACTCACTTACGGATGTCATTGATAGATTGACGGACGAGCTTGTGGAGAAGCGGACTATGGGATCGAGGGCTAGCAATCGTAGTGCAGATGAGAGGGACGAAGAGAACACCAGTGGTCCATCTGATCCGTTTTCCATGAGCAATTGTATTGACATCATGACGACCATGCAAGTACCCACATAGTTTTACCTGCCGGTTGTCAAGTACTTGTATCAAAATCCAAGGTGGCGGGAGATATTCGTGAAACTCCCGCCCGAGGAAAGGACAAACTGGATTTATAACGACTTTCCGAATTTGTAGATGACACTATATTTCCTAAGTGTTTGCTTGCCCTTTTGTATGCGTCAGTGGGCACTTGTCATTACAATTAGAATTTATAACATTACTGTATGAACTTATTAATTGTGCTATTGTTTTATGTGATATTACATGTTTCAACCTCGTTTTGGATTGTCATTAGAATTAAATATTGACTGTTATATTTTGTTAATTGTGGATCAATGTTTTGCAAATGCAGGTTTAAATGGCGTCGTCTAGCTGTACAGGAAGAAGACGACGTTCTACAGATGACGAAGAAGAAATACTGATAGATATAGCCATTGCACTCTACGGTGTTGCCGCGTTAGAAATAATTGGGCGTGAACCACGACATACATCCATATTAACTGGCCATGAGTACATGTTGGAAGTACTCAATGGTCATGCTAACAGGATCTTTGACAAGTGCCGCATGGACAAAGACTGTTTTACATACTTATGTGAAATTTTGTCAGAGCAAGGCAAATTGCGACAATCCAGGAGGATGAGTGTGGAAGAACAAGTTATGATATTTCTAACAATCGTTGGTAAAAACGAGATAGTCAGAACGATGATGGAGGATTTCCAACATTCAGGTGAGACGATCTCTAGATATGTTGGCGTAGTTTGCAAGACGATATGTGAGTTGAAGACAGAGTTTATCAGACCACCTGACTTCAGTGAGGTTCCATTGGAAATATCAGCCAACCGAAAATATTACCCTTTCTTAAAGGTACTGGTTCATTATGTTTTCAATTAGTGGATAGTTAAGTTCATTGTGTTATTCATGGTCATAGTTAGTTAATATCAGTAAAATTCAATTTTGATGATAAGACTGTATTGGAGCTATTGATGACACACATATATACGCTTCGGTTCCACATGAATTTGCTGATAGGTACCGAAATCGCAAAGGAACGTTGTCACAAAATGTAATGGCTGCATGCGACTTTAGGATGTTGTACACTTATGTCGTTACTGGATGGGAAGGATCTGCGCATAATTCAAGAGTTTTAAATTCAATTATTATTGATCCTAATTCTAGATTCCCACATCCTCCACCAGGTATAAGTATTTTCTTGACGTATTATAGCGTATTTGCTCCATTGTTGAGGCCCTATAATTCAAATAACATGTATGATTTTATTATAGGGAAATACTATTTGGTTGATGCGGGTTATCCAAATAGAGAGGGGTTCCTCGCCCCTCATAGCGAGTGGCTTACCGTATTTCTGATCACCACCGTAACCGAAGGGGGCCACAAGAGTTGTTTAACTACAGACATGCTTCACTGCGCAATGTTGTCAAGAGAACCTTTAGTGTTTTGAAAAGACAGTTCTGTATTCTGAATGGAATGAACAATTACCCGTTAGACAAACAAGGGAAAATTGTTATGACATGTTGTGTACTTCATAATTATATCAGAATGTACAATATGGAGGATCCTATCTTCGAATAATATACTAGAAATATGGGTAATGAGCAAGTATATTGTGATCGCCAAAACGGGGCAGAAGATGGCCGAAATGGAGAAGGACTGAGTCAACCGCAACAAGGAATTATAGACAATATGATGACTGTACGAGATAACATAACGAATGCACTATGGGCAGCATAGTGGACCATGTCGTAGTTGTTAATGGAGCATACGTGTGAGAATGACTGTAAGGGTTGATAATTAGTATTTTTGTCATATATGTATTAATGTGATATTTTTAAACAGTTGGATTAATACTTGAAATTAATATGGGTTTTTATTTTTTAATATTTACTGGTGACAAAATTACCAATAAAATGTTTAATATTATTAAAATGTAAATTGATAAGTTATATATATAATAATACCTTATTTTAACAAAATCCACGAAAATATTATATTAATAAATCATTTATAAAAAAATATATCAATCAAATATTCAACGTAAAAATACTCTACCAAACACATATTTTTCAAATCCTATTCTCGTAATCATAACCCTACTTAATTATCTAACATTATTCCAAAAATCTTATCCAAAATAATAAACCAAATACACCCTTTATTATTATTAAAAGTCAATACCATCTCCCTTTTTTTTGGTATCCTCAAGTGTGTAAGTCAGTTTGTACACACCTTGACTATTTTTTCAGGGTTATGAAGTTAACAATCAGGAAAACATTAAGTGGTTACCCTCTATTAGTAATCGTAGGAATTTAAATTCAGGACCTATTAAATAATATATTTAAGAGTCCCAAACGAATCGTGAATCTACCTCTTTACTCGGTACCATCTCGGGCGAAACTTTTCAAATGTCACTCTTTAAGCTTGACATAAATAAAAGGAGAACCCAGTCGAGATATATTAACATAATCCTGGGGACCGTGAGCGGCTAAACCCGGGAGTGCCAGTCCAACAAATCTCACCAGTATCAGCCACCAACTTTCACAATAGTCTGGTCCCTTTTTGTATGGAAGAATAAAGCTTCTTAACAGCTCCCAAAACGCATTTAGGATTGTGGGTATCGTCGCCAACAATGAGATATAATTTTTGTTTGGTTCTTCTTCAACTATCTGCACATAACTTAATAAATCATTATATAACTCGTGATTATCAAATTAATAGATATCTGAATACACGTTTTTGTAAAAACATAAGAAGAAAAAAGAGGAGAGATGATTCACCTTCCCTTTGTAACAGCTATTGTAGTAGAGGCATGTCCCAAAATGCTTGAACAAAAATGTAGAGTCATCTGAGGGCAACCTAGGGATCATATCATTACAGTAAACATACCGTAAATATTTAAAGTCATACTTATTCATCTGTTTTTTCATAAACGTCTTAAACTCCTCATCCCCAACCCTAGGTTGCCCAAAAGTGTACACTCCTTCCAATCTCTTTAACAAAAATGTCTCTTCATGCAATGCCAGAACTGCAGGAAAGAGAATTGCAAGTGCCCCACCCATGCTGTGACCTGTTAATATAAATTTTGTTCTACTATTTTCATTCAGAAGTGTCCTCAATTTTTCTCTGATGGTGTAATACGCAACTGGATACTCAACTATATCCTGTTGGTTCATTTCTTTCGGCCAACCTTGACCAATCAATAACCCTAATGCTTTCATAAAACCACCATGTATTTTTCCCATGCCCGGGAGCTCGTACCAGGAGATATCAATGTCAGTGCACCATGCATCTGCATCAAAGACTTCGGTACCTCTAAAGGCGACAACAACAACGTCAGGATCTGCAGTTTTATCATGAAACATGAATCCTTGTGTTGTACTTTTTCTTTGGAAATCTGCGCCAGCATCGTATTCACTATTATGTTAATGTGTTTGTTAGTACCCACAAAAAAAAAAAAAAAAAAAAAATTTATATATATATGAATTACAGTAGTTTTCAACTGCAGGTATTTTAATAAAGAAGAGCAGATTAATTATGGTACTTATTTATATAGCAAAGCATTAACCGTAACAATTTAATGCCTGATTTTATTTGATCATAGAATGAGAATTTGATTGTTTCTTACCATTCCAAAAATCGTGGTATCCCAATAATTCCATCTGCACCAAACAGTGTGAACATTTTATCGCGAGAATGCAATTATAATAAGATATATTGATAACAGGAGTAATGTTTTGTTTAGAAGTTATCTTTTCCCGTTACATGATCAAATATTTGATATAGCCTTGGAAGATCCAAAGATGCAATTAGGTAGTTTTACCTTCCAGCAATTTTGGACTGTGGTTTCAACTACGGCTTTGTTCTCGAATGATAATTTAGAAGCCATTGCACATAGCATCACAAAATATCTTATATCTCCATGCTGGATGTTATTGTCCAGCTGCATTCGTTTGTCTATATGTCCAACAAATGACAGAAACATTTCTGATGTTCTTTCAGGCACTATCACCTTATCTACAAAGATCGAAATAATTCATTAATTATTATTAATATATGTGTGTGTGTGTATCACTAAATTCAAGAAGAAGACTAATACTGACTTTGAAAAACATGAAGCAAGAGCCCAAAGAAGTTGCCGTTACATGACAATAGGTTCATCCACATTTCGAAAGCTGATCCAAACGCCATCATGGGTTTTGCCAAGTGTTGCAGAACTTTTTGCCCAAAGAGAGAGATAAATATAAGCCATCTGCGTTGGAGATTTTCCTCCTTCCCAATTGGGTACTCTATAAATGCTTTCTGTGCCATGTCACCGTTGAGTAAGATGCCAAAGAGATGACAGAGACCCACTTCTTCTGGTCGCAAGACCAAATAATTACCGGAAAAACTGTGAGACAACATTATCGGAACTAAAAAGAAAGAATATAATGTTAGATAGTAGATACGTATATAAATCAACTTTGACAGTGTGGAATGCATACATATAGATCAAATATATATATGTTTATCTAATTTAAAGACAAAAGTGGCTCCTAAAACTTCTTCTCATTTTTATATATTAAATAGATTATAATTATTATAAATAAAAATAGCTTATTATTATACAATACAATCGTATAATTAATGAATTTCGTGTAATAAGTCATGTGCCTTGAAAAAAAGCTTGGCAGATGTACCGTGGCCGTTGCTTGGGAGCTTAGCATTCTAGATTCCAATGAACCCTTTTTGGGTCAACACTCAGAATAGATCCTTAGAGTCTGCTAAGGGAAAAGAGTTGTTCTTTAAGCGAGTAATTCTTTCCTTGGAGCAGCTGAAAGACAAAAAAGTTTTATGCTTTTGAAACACGTTTTTCTTGATTGCCTACAACCTGTACCACGCGCAATTGTTCCAATCGGATCGTTGTTACTAAATTATGTGTAGTAGAGGTTATAATTTTATTAGAATTAATTATTTTATCTTCAAACTAGGAATTAGACATTATATGATATTCATAACCATGACTTTTAGTAGTAATTTATTCAAAACTTATAACATGAATTACGAATATGATAATATGTGAACACCAAAAATGTAAAATATCTATAGATATAATATATGAGATCGATGTCTATTAACAAGACTTTACGTGTGATAATTGATGAAATCTTTTTCATAGTTCAAGATCGAGCCTCTGACCTAGCCTCTAAGTATGTCATCCATACTCAACTTAGAGTCATCTAGAGCCTGCCTGACTAATTGGTCTTGTTTGTTCTAAGTTTGTACGCTCTGGTCGGGCGTCTGTGCCCATTTCTCTTTTTTGTTTGGTTTGAGCCTAAGAGCTCCATTATGTTGGAGTTGTCGACTACTTCAGCAGTAATGGGTAACGGAGACGCACTCAAGGGTCCCGCTTGGGTTGGGCTTAGGAATAGGAATCCATGTAAAACTAGGTTTAATCTCTTAAACCTAGTATATAAACATACTTTTCTCTTGTTATGAGTGTGAGAGCAATTCATTCATTGTAAACGAGAGAGGTGAGACATATTTCAATAATATTGACTCAGCTGGACGTAGCCCACATTGGATGAACCAGGGTAAATCGCGCGTATTATTTTTCTTTGTTTACTGTTTGTTTTGTTTTACTATTATTATTTTGTTCCTGTTGTTGTCTCTATTTCATTCACATTAGGGCGCCTGAATCCATCTCTCTCCTTTGTTTGGAGCCTGCGTGCTCCCTTTTAGGGGGTTGTTCCCATCCTTTTGTTAAACAAGATAGACACATCTGTTCTGGTCTTCTTTAAACCTCTTCTGGGGGTATGTCCTTAGTTCTCTATATAGTTTCTCTTCTTTTATAAAATTTACCTTTTCTAAAAAAAAAAGTCCATCAATAATTTAAAATAGCCAATATCAGCATTTGAATATTAAACATATTAATTTTTCCATCACATCTACTTGGGATCGTGGCTCCCCTGTATAAATCCATAGCTGGGTTTGGATAAAAATCCATAGCAGGGTTTGGATAAGAGAATGCCTGAATAAATAAATTTATATTTATTCGTCTCACTCACCGGTACTCCATGTCACCAGAGAAAAATAAAGCTTTCAAGGTAGACTTAAGAAAAAAGCGCAATTAATAGGAGACAGCCAGACAGGAGAGACATGAGTTGAATATTATAATTATGAGTTTGGTAAGCGCAATTATATGCACAAGCGCAAGCGCAAGCGCATTGCATGGATGTTTATACTTTATTGACTCCATTAATTAGTAGGTCGATTACAATCTGTTGGGGTGGAACAAAACATCAGTGGATCCGAGGCAACTAGCGTTGATATAATCTTGGGGACAATGAGCTGATAAACCGGGGATTATCAATCCAATAACCCTCACCACTCTCATCAATCCCCCTTCTCTATAGTCCGCCCTCTTTATGCGCCATAAAGCAAAGCTTCTTATCAGTTCCCAAACTACATTCATCATCATGGGTATTGCCTCCAATGGTGAGAAGTAGTTTTTGTTTGGTGCTTCTGCAACCACCCGCATTAGTTAAAACCACCATTAATGCATGTTTGAGTCTCGCATTGATAACTTAATCTAAGATTAATTCCTTATCAATCAGCTAAAACCTTAATTTTAGATTAATGTGTTGGTGATGTTGAAGAATATATATAAAGATACTCACTTTTCCTTTATAGAGGCTATTGTAGTAGAAGCGCTGCCCAAAGTGCTTGAACATAAGCTCAGAGTCATCAAAAGGCAATCTAGGCACAATATCATTACTGTAAACAAACCTAACGTAATTAATGGCACTCTCTTTTAACTTCTTTTTCATGAACTCCACAAAATTTTCATCTTCTACCATGGGTTGCCCAAATGTGTACACACCCTCCAATCTCTCCAATAACTCTGTCTCGTCATGAAGTGCCAAAATCGCTGCAAAGAGAATAGCCAATGCACCGCCTAAACTGTGGCCTGTCACTATAAATTTTGCTCTAACGTTTTTGCTTAAATGTTCTCTTAATTTTTTCCTGATTGCGTCGCATGCTAAGGGCGCCGGGCGGTTATTGCTTTGCTTATCGATATGTTTGGGCCAACCTTTGACCTTTAGTAAACCATGAAAGCGCCATGAATCTTGCCCATGCCATCGATCTCACACCAAGAGAGATCAAAGTCAGAACTTCATGCGTCTGCGTCAAAAGCTTCAGTACCTCTAAAGGACACAACAATAGGATCACTTTTATCATAAAGCATAAAAGCATGTGTTGTGGCTTTTCCTTGAAAATCTGCCAAATTAAATTGATAAAGGGATACGGATATTAGTCAGTAATTGAACAAGAAGCATGAAGACAGGGTTCTTAATTTTAGAATAGAATTAATAAGATTATACAGATTGTTATATTCAACTTTTTATTTAGGTAGGTAGCTTCTTACCGTTCCAGTAGTCATCGGATCCCAAAAATTCCATCTGCAAAAAGGAAAACTATAAGTACAAATGTACAATTCATCGCTAATTTTACTCATAAAAATTGAAAATGGAAACATGGGAATTTTATATTTATATACCTTCCAGTGTTGGGTAACAATAGTTTGAATGTAGGGTTTGTTCTCATATGATGCTTTGGATGCCATCTTTAGTCTCAATTCAGTCTTATCCATATGCATTAAGCTAATTTTGAGACAAAAGGATTAACTTCATATATTTATGTGATATTTGTTAGATATGAATAAGCGGCGATTTTTTTTTTTTTTTCAGAAATCAACAAAATTCTTTTATAATTATTAAAAATGATTTTTCTCAAGAATTTTTAACAATTATGTAGGGGTTTTGGATAGTTTTTAAAGAGATAGATGCACTTTAAATTAATCTATTTTACAAGAGATATATGAAATTAACCATGGAGATAACCAATGGTTTAAATACAATGACATATCAAGTGCATTTTAATGATAAAATTAAATGAAATAGGAGATTAGCTTATAAACTCTTGCTCTACAAATGGTTGGAATGAAATGACTTGAGTTGACTCCCACACAGGAGATCAGGCATCCAAAATCCAATCTAGAAATCGATTAGGAACTTATATAGGTTTCTTCTAGTTGGCCTTCAAGATTTTATTTATTTTTGTTGTTTACTTATTTTGTATCCAATAAGTTTTTTTTTTTTTTTTTTTTAAATGACCGAAGATATCCAAGTTAGTTTACGCACATCTTAACTAATCCTCTAAGATCTAGAACTATTAGTCGGGTAAAAACTTCAGTGACTGAACCCAAAAGCTACATACATACAATCAATATATATATATATATATATATAAAATCAGCCCCAGTGGCTTGATTAATTTATTAACTTGTGTTACACATTATGTTGAATATTTTATTTGAAGTCATGCGTCAATGTTTGCGCTGTATTATAAAACTCTTTAAATTTATTAGTCACGAGATAAAATTTGAAATTAGAAACAAAAATTAAGATATATCATAACATTATTAATTTATTGTGTAAAAATTAAGTTTACGCATGTGCCTAGATAACAAATCATGACAGCCACCAATTGGAACTTAAGTTTTTGACTTTTGTTCAGTTATTAGGCAGTGGATTTGATTTCTATGTAAGGGTTGGACAAAATCCAATAGGGAGAAAAATGTTTTCGGAGATGGTATTGGGTACGGTTAAAAGATAACTTAATTTTGAGTGGCACTGAATATATATGTTTTTACAAGTTTTTCATTAAAAAATAGAACACCTCTCTCTCTCTCTCTCTCTCTCTCTCTCTCTCTCTTTTTACAATATAGAAAATGTTATTCTGAATTTAAATAGTTAATTTTAGGTGAAAATAGTCTTCATATGGGTGTGTTTCTTTTATTATTTTGAATAGTATTTTTGAAATATTATTGACAAGTAGAGTTTGGTGATTATTACGAGATAGAATTTAAAATTTTACAAGAAAAACCCTAGGTTTGCTAATTTAACTAAACACCCCAATATACAAAAATTTTGTAAAATTATAAAAACACCCCACCTACCTACAGTGGCCAGATTTCAGCCACCACCATCGAAATCTCGCCAGAATCTGGCATTATGGTGCACGATCGGCTGGATCTGGCCAGTTGTTTATCGATCTGGCCTTTTTCGATGGATTTGGCCAGAAAATGCAAGATTGACGCATTACCGGTCAGTTCCGACTGTTAGTGCGTCGTTGGGTCAGATTTCGGCCACTACCGACGGTGGTTGCCAAAATCTGATAACTATGGGTTGGTGGGGGTGTTTTTGTTAATTTATAAAAAAAAAAAATTGTTAGGGGTGTTTCTATCAATTAACAAACTTAGAGGATTTAAAAAGTTTTTTAATTTAAGATATAATTTTGAAAATAAGGAAACAAACGCGCATTTGTATTTGGAATAAAGATATGATATTTATTATTTTTGAAATAGTATACAAAATATAATGTTAAATAGGAATGATGATCTAGTAACTTAGTGATGTGGACACAAAAGCAACTAAAAAGGCCCTAAATTATAGGGGTGAGCACGGGTAGCGGGTAGAACCGGAACCGGGGGTAAGAACCGGAATCGGAACCGGAACCTACCCAGAACCTGCACTGTGCGGGTAGGTTTCGGTTCCAATTTTTTGGAACCGCTACTGTGCGGTTCCGGTTCCGGTTCTTACCCCCGGAGGAACCGGAACCGGAACCGGAACCTGTAAAAAGGGTACCCTGTTTGGAACCTGTAGGGGGGACCATGTTTGTAACCGTTGGGAAATCTGTTTTGGAACACTGTTTGGAACCTGTTGGGAACCCTGTTTTGGAACCTGTTTTGGAACCTGGTTTGGAACCTGTTTTGAACCTGTTTGGAACCTGTTTGGAAAGAACCTATATTGGAACCTGTTTAGAACCTTTTTGGAACCTGGACTATAATGAAATATTTGTGAAATGAAATAATGGGGAGTTTCTATTATTTTACATATAAAAAATTTAAAATAGAAAGTTAATTTTTTAGAATAGCCTATAAAATATTACGATCTACAATTTACTTATTACATATAAATTACACCATTTAAAAGCTTTAATATTATAATACATTATATTAAAGTTTTCATCAATTAAGTGAAAATTGGAATTATGATCCTTAAAAGTGTTTTACATTTTTAATGATTAAAAGAATTATTTTGAATAATAAAGTAATATTTGATTGAGTAATATATTATTAGTTATTTACTTGAATTATCAAGTTCTAAGTATATCTATAATAAATTAGTAATAATAATTATTATTATGATAAATTGATAAACATTAATAAATTTAATTACTAGTTAAATATCATACTTAATCAATTATAACATTACATTATAGTTAAATGATTACTTAATTAATATAATTTTATAACATTACTTAATTGATTTATAGTATAATAATTATTGCATTACATTAATTTATTACTACTTAATTAATTGACTTTATTATAAACATTAGTACAAACTTAATTAAATGATTAAAAATTTAATTAATTATAATATTACATTAAAATTTAGTAGATTATTTAAAGTAATTCACTATAACATTACATTTAGTACGATTATATAATAATTATAACATTACATAATTAAATAATTACTTAATTGATTATGAGTTTGATTATATGTTTTAAACATTAAATTACTAATTGCTACAAAATATTAGCACAATACTAATTAAATGATAAGAAATTAATTAATATAACATTACCTTATAAACATTCATTATAACATTAGTAATTTACTAATTTACTATATTATAATTACTTATTAAACGATTAAAATTTAATTAATTATAACATACCTTATATATTTAAATAATTACTTAATCATTATCATTCTATAAAACTAGTATATTAACAAATGATTTGAAATTTAATTAATTATAAATTAAATTATAGATTTTATAGTTGATATTAATTCATTATAACATTACATTATACTATTATAGTTGATCATATAATTAATATAACATTACATAATAAATAATACTTAATTAATTATGAGTTATGTATTATATTTTAAACATTAGTAATTACAATTTACTATATAAACATTAGCACAAACTTAATTGAATGATAAGAAATTTAATTAATATAACATTTCTTATAAACATTTCATTATAAACATTAATTAAACATTACATTATTAAATAATTACTCAATTAAATTATATATTATTAATTTACTTATATTATGATTACTTACTTAATATAGCATTATATAGTTAAATGATTACATAATACTAATTAGTTATGAATTTATAACATTACATTAAAACATTAGTAATTTACTATACTATATATTACTAATTAAACGATTAAAAATTTAATTAATTAACATTATTTTATATATTTGTAATTGATATAACAATTATAACATTCCATTATAAACATTAGTATATTAATTAAATGATTGTGAAATAATTAATTTAATATTAAATTAGATTTGTAGTATGATTCTAATTCATTATAACATTACATATTACTATTTATAGTAGATCATTATTTAAATAATTACATTACATAATTAAAATACTAATTGATATGAGTTATGATATTATATTTTAACATTAGATACAATTTACTACATAAACATTACACACATACTTAATTAAATGATAATAATTTAATTAATTTAACATTACCTATAAACATAATTAAATATTACATTAAGTAAAAATACTCAATTAATTAAATTATTTAACATTATATTATGATCACTTACTAATATGCATTATATGTTAAATGATTACATAATTACTTAATAGTTATGAATTATAAACATTAAATTAAACATTAAATCTACTATACTATTACATACTTAATAAACGATTAAAATTTAATAATTATAACATACTTTATATATTTGTAATATGATTATACAATCAATTATAACATTCCATTATAAACATTAGTATATTAATTAAATGATTGAAATAATTAATTATAATATTAAATATAGTTTGTAGTACATTCTATATAAACATAGTTATTAATTAAATGATTTGAAATTTAATTAATTATAATATTAAATTATAGATTTGAATGATTACTTAATTCATTATAACATACATTATACTGTTATAGTGATCATATATATATAACATTAACATAATTAAATAATTACTTAATTGATTATGATTATGATATTATATTTTAAACATTAGTAATATATTTACTACATAAACATTAGCACAATACTTAATTAAATGATAAGAAATTTAATAATTATAAAATACCTTATAAACATTAATTAAGCATACATTATAGTTAAATAATTACTCAATTAAATTAATATTATATTATTTACATATATTATAATCACTTACTTAATTATAGCATTATATAGTTAAATGATGTATAATTACTAATTAGTTATGAATTTATAACATACATTATAAACATTAGTATTTACTATACTGTTACATACTTAATTAACGATTAAAAATTTAATTAATTACATTACTTTATATATTTGAATATGATACTATCATTAAATATTCCATTAAAACATTAGTAATTAATTAAATGATTTGAATTTAATAATTATAATATAAATTATAGATTTGTAGTATGATTACTTAATTCATTATAACATTACATATATTATAGTATGAT